AGAAATAAGTTTTTTTTTTTTTTGAGACAGGTCTTGCTTTGTACTTCAAGCTGACCTTGAACTCACTGTGTAGCCCAAGCTGACCTTGACCATTCAGCAAACCTCCTGCCTCGGCCTCCCAAGTGCTGACATTATAGATGTATCCCACCAGTCTTATTTTGGGTGGAGGGGAGTACTAGGGATTGAACCCAGGGCCTTTGTACTGAGCTATGCCCACAAGCCTATTTTCTGTTTTGAGACAGGGTCTTGCTAAATTGCCCAGGCTGTGGGAGGGAGAGGAGGAGGTCTCAGCCCAGAAAACTGGTCTGTGTCAGCTTCCCTCCTTCTCATCACCATGAGCCATCCTGAGATGTCTATACAATAGAAACCAAACCAAGTGGGCATCCCAGTCGAAGGGAGCAGTGGAAAGGAGGGTAGGAAGAAAGGATGTCTGTCTGTCGAACCCCACCCCTCTCCACTCCTTGCCCACAGAGGCAAAAGACTGTTACGCTAGGGGCTCAGCAAGTTCCATTCCACCAGTACAGACTGAGCCAGACCTTGAAACAAATGCAAAACACATAGTGACAGAAACAGGAGAGAAAGCGAGAAAACTCGAGAGGGTGCGAGCTGGGTGACCAAATAGCAAACACAAATAGCAAAAAAGAAAAAAAAAGCAGTTCTTTATAATTTAATATTCTATTTTAATAAAGGCGTTTATTAGTGTAAAAAATAGACAAATAAAAAAATAAAAAATTACCCAGGCTGGGCTTGAACTTGCTACATTCTTGCCTTGGTCTCCCCGAGTGCTGGGATTATAGCTGTGAGCCGTCGTGCACAGCTCCTGGGCCACAGTTTTTGTGAACTATACTCAAAGTGATAGCGCATCATTTTTGCCATATTTTGTCCTTTAGAAACAAGTCACTAGGTCCAGCAACCTTGAGGGACATAGACTACATAGGGCGTGGATTGGAGGGGCTGGGTCTTCAGGGCCATCTTACTGGCTGCCCACCAAGCAGCAGCTGTTTTATCTGTCACAGGGGATATTGAGGATTTAAATGAGGTGGCAGGGTTGGGACTGCTGTAATTTTATTTATTTGCTACAGGGTCTCACAATGCAGCTCAGATTCATAGTGATTCTCCTGTGTCAGTCACCCCAGTGCTGGGATTACAGGCGTGCACCACCATGTCCTCAGGGCTGGCAGTGGGAGACACCATCCTGGGCTCACACCTGTCCTGGCTATGCCCACTTCCTCCCTCAGGTGTTCTCTATCGTGGTGTTTGGCTCCATCGTAAACGAGGGCTACCTCAACAGCCCCTCGGAGGGCGAGGAGTTTTGCATCTACAACCGGAACCCCAATGCCTGCAGCTATGGTGTGGCGGTGGGTGTGCTGGCCTTCCTCACTTGCCTGCTCTACCTGGCCCTGGACGTCTACTTCCCCCAGATCAGCAGTGTCAAGGACCGCAAGAAGGCCGTCCTGTCCGACATTGGTGTCTCAGGTGAGCCCTAGCCTCGAGTCGTGGTCACTACCCCTCCCTATTTCCCTCCCTCCCTGGGGAGGCTGAGGAGCAGGCAGGCAAGTGAACAGACTTGGGGTACATGGTGCCCAGGGGTGGACGAGGCCATGGCAGTCTGGGTCCTCAGGATAACACATGGCCCTCTGGGGTCGGGGACAGGATGGGGCTGAGTCAAGTCTTGCTTCAGTGACCCCTCTGCACCCCTCCCCAGTGGAGCCGCAGGAGAAAAAGTGAGGGGCAAGTAGCTGCCCTGCACACAGCCCCCAAGAGCCCAGCTTCTCCTTCCCGCAGGCCTGGGCAGATGGATGTGACATTTCACCATCTTTGCCCTCCAGAAGTGGCCACTGCCATAGGCTCCCTTGTTCCTGTCCCTCGAGTCCTAGGACTCACTTGGTGGATGCTTTGTCAGGGGTCAGAGCCATGTGTCTCAGCCACCCTGCCCTGAGACTGGGGACTTGGGTATCTGGGAAAGGATCTCCCCCTTTCCTGGGCCTGGGCCCCTTAGCCCTTCTAGACAGAACCAGGACTAAATTTAAGGTTCTCAGACTTCCACAGAGTCCCATGGTCCCAGCAGTGCCTTTGGGCTCAACACACAACTTTATTCTGGGCAGCATGGGGCATCTCAAGGTGACCCTGGTCACCACAAAGCTCCCCTGCTGAGTCCTCAGATCTCCATTGTCCATGGGCTTTGTGAGGCTGCAAGGCGCTAGAAATCAAGGGGTAGACTCACCCTGGCCGAGCCACGCGGGCTGAGCGCCCCAGATTGCTAGAAGCCAAAGCTGGGTGGAGGGCATTGGTCCTGCTTCCTGACAGCTGCCAGCTGCCAGCCTCGGGTGGGCTGTGAGGCCCAAGCCTGAGATGTGGCTGGGAATAGGGTCCATGGAGGCGGAGAAGCACCTGACTGATTGCCTTTTCTCTCCCTCCTTCCCCTCACTGCTGTGATTGTGCTGTCTGCCCCTGGCCCTCCCTGTCTGCTCCTTCCCTGTGGTACCTTCTGCCTCTGCCTCTCGCCTATACCTTCTTCCACCCCCCAACCGGTCACCCTGGCTTCGCTGTGGGGTGGGGAGCACGGGAGACCTGCTTTTGAACTGCCCTGTTCTTCCCTTCACCCCGGTGTGTCATCCCGCCTGTTGCGCTTGCCCTGGAATCACCAGCCTTCTGGGCCTTCCTCTGGTTCGTGGGCTTCTGCTTCCTGGCCAACCAGTGGCAGGTCTCCAAGCCCAAGGACAACCCACTGAACGAAGGGACTGATGCAGCCCGGGCCGCCATCGCCTTCTCTTTCTTCTCCATCTTCACTTGGGTGAGTACAGCACAGGAGAGCCCATGCTCCAGGCCCCGCAGATGGCCTCGCTCCTCCTGGTCCTGCCTGTGGGGTCACAGACCCCACTACTACTCTGTGGATGGCATTCAGCCCTTTTAGGGCTGAGAAAGAGGAGGCCTGGATGGGAAGGTGGGGGCTCCAGGATTTAGGCTTGGGAGGAGCCAGGCCAGGAGCAGGAGACGGTCTCCCAGCCTGGAGCTACCCCAGCTGTCCTAGCTCCTGTCTTCCATCTGGAAAGTGAGGGACAGGAGGACAGGGGTGACCGCCTGGGTGCTGGGGTGGGATGTCCCAGGCCTGCCCACCCGAGGAGAATCCCCTCTGCTCAGTCCTCTGCCAAGTAGGAGTGGGAGCCTGCTGAGGCCAGCGCTTCTAATTTTTCTCCAAGAAGCCAGAAATTGGAATTTTTATGTGAAATCTGATCTCTATAATTGGTAGTTTATTCAAGTTCTTTAAAAAATTCGAGTCACAGAAACCATGGCCCTGAGCCCAACAGCACAGAGACCAGTCCTACGCAGGGCCTGCTGGGTGGTGGAGGCCCCACCATTCCCCACGAGGCCAGCCCTCTCTCCCCAGGTCCAGGCCAGCTCCGTTCTGTCTTCCTGCAGATATCCGGGGTCTTTCCACTCTGGGCCTCAGGCCCAGGGCTCTTCTCCTAGCCACAGCACCATCCCCTCCAAGCCCTCTCACAAGGACACCTCAGGGCTATAGCCTAGCAGCCAGCCCTCCCCAGTCCCTTCCCTCTTGAGGGTGACTCTTCTGCCCCTTCTGAAGATCAAATCCTGGGGTGTTCCGCCACTGAGTTATACCTCCATCCTTTTTTATTTTGTGACAGGGCCTTACCAAGTTGCCTATTCTGGCCTTGAACTTTTGACTCTCCTGCCTCAGCCTGCTGAGTGGCTGGGATCACAGGCGAGGCCCATCATGCCCATTCATTTCTTTCTCTTCCTGAGGGCCCCTGGTATAATTTTCTTCTGGGACATCCAGCCTCCCTATACAGTATTAGGAGGTAGAGTTTGGAGGAGACCTGTGGTCCAGGGCCTTGGAGCCAGCCGTGGTCATGCTGGCTCTTGATGTCTTCAAGCTAGGGTAGGAAGAATAAGGTCACCCCAGGGGATATCAAGCCAAAGAAGGCACCCCAGAACTGGATACTCACAGCCTCCAGGGAAGAGTGTAGAAGCCTGGCCCTGAGATTGGGCAGGGTTCAAAGAAGGGTGATTGGACTCCAGGATTTCCAAGGGCAGAGCTGAAGCACTAGGACCCCACTGACTCCCTATCCTTCCCAGTCCTCCCAGCGGCCTCACCCTGCTCTCTCCGGCAGAGCCTGACCGCAGCCCTGGCCGTGCGCAGATTCAAGGATCTTACCTTCCAGGAGGAGTACAACACGCTGTTCTCTGCCTCAGCACAGCCCTAGCCACTCCCCAACGTGGTGCCAGAAGTGTTGGGGACCCCAGGGCACTTAAGATTCACCACTTACTACTTCCTTCATTCAGTGCCTTCTTCGTTCACTGTTGTGTGTTCGTTCATTTAGTAAACATTTATTGAGCAGCTGTCTTGTGCCTGTGACAAGTTAGGCAGGGTCACTGGCCCCAGATGGGCTGGGTAGGGGAGATGGACACCTCAGAGCTGCCCCCGGGGGGCTGCAGGCTGTTAGTGGGTCTACAGAGGTATCTCTGCTTGCCAGGAGGTACCCATGGCCCAAGGTACTGAACCGTGGCCACAGTGTGATGGCCAGTCCACAGCTGAGGTGTGAAGGATGACCTTGCACCGCTCCACAGGGTGGCAGCCATGAGGGGTGTAGCCTGGGGTGCTGGGGCCTTCTCAGCCAGGTCCTGTCTTCCCTTACTGGTGGACTGAGAAAACCCTGTACCTCTCTTAGCCTCAGTGTGTTTCCTTGGAGTGACAGATGGTAATGGACCAGACACTCGGGCTGGTTGTGCAGATGGGACAGGCTGACACAGGGCTCGGCACGAAGATGCTCAATAAATTATTCTCTTACGCATTCTCTCGCCTATTCACCCATTCTTTCATTCATTCATTCTCCCCAGAAAGTTGGGCTCCTCTGCAAACTCTCTTTTAGGGGTGATCTTTTTGTAGCTAACCCTTGCTCTGCCAGAGGACTGGGGCCTCTGGGCCTGTACGGTTTCCTTCCCGGGGCTCAGCTGCCTGGGTGGCCCCCACCCTACTCTCCTCTCCACAGGGTGAGGAGCAGCACTCAAGCCTTGTTAGAGCTGAGTGCACAGAGAGCACATCCTGGTGCTGGAGGCATGAAGTGCAGACCCCGGGTCTCTGGGCCCTGAGCAGGACTCCCAACCTGTCCTCTGATGCTCAGTCTACCATGGCCCTAGGACATTCTTTTGTCCCCTCCTGTGTTCCCTTGAACTGCTTGGCTATAGGAGGCCTTGAGCCCATAAGGTCGAGGGCCGTCCCCCAGACCATCCTTGGTGCCTGCAGCCAGAGCCGCTCCCTGGGAGAGTCCACAGAAGCCATCTGCTCTAGCCCTCTGCCTGACAGTATGGCTGGGTGCTTGGGAGATCAGGCCTGTGGACCCTGCTCTCGGGGAGTTGTCTTTTTGTTCCTTTGGGCTCCTACAGCCTCACCAGCACTTTGGGTGTCCTGAGGAGCTCCTTACCCCTCTTGGGGCTTCAGCTCTGAGCTCCCAGCAGCCCGGTGATGACCTGAGGTGATGACCTGATCCTCCACCCCACCTTCCTAGGCTTGGTCTGCCCTTCCAGGGCCCCTGTACTTTTCCTCCCAGAAAGGGCTGCCCCAGAGTCCTGCAGGAAATGCCTGACCTGGGCTTTTGGAACCCTCTGGGATAGAGCGCCACTCCCCTGTTCACAGTTAGCCCTTCAGTTTCTTTCTTTTTTTTTTTTTCTTTTTTTTTTTTTTTTTTTTTTTTTTGCGGAACCAGGAATTTGAACTCAGACCCTTGCGCTTGCCAGGCAAGCACTTATTCTACTGAGCCATCTCCCCGGCCCCTACAGTTGGCCCTTTGGGTTCCTGGTTGATTTCCCCTTTGCAGGGGACTGACCAAAGGGTAGGGGTGAGGGAGGCCTGGCCCAGGAATGAGCAATGTGTAGGCTGGTGGCCGGCTGCAAAGGTCTGTGGAGAAGGCTTCGCTCTGAAGCTTGAGACTCTTATTTGTAGTACTGGAAGTTGAACCCAGAGCCTTTGTCCTGAGCTACTTCCCAGCTGTGTTTTGTTTCATCTTGTTTTGTGTTTTGTTTGAGGCGGGGTCTCGCTGAGTTGCCCCGATGGAGCTCATACCTGTCGCTCTCCCGTCTCAGCCTTCCAAGTGGTGCGATTACAGGCGTGCCCACCTGGCCTGGCTCAAGGCTGGTTTGAAAGACAAATTTGACTCCTTAGCTTGGCGTAGCCAGTGTCACTGTTCTTAAAATAGTTTCACTGAAAAAAAGTGTTCTAACACGCGTGTGTGCTACAGTCACTGGTGCAGTGCAGGAAGGGCTGTGACGGGCAGATGAGACTGGTGGGGGTGCTTGTCAGAGTTCCCTGGACAGTCAAGCGTCTGGCGGTCAGGGTCGTGGCATCTTGGAACTTGTTTCTGTTTAATTCAGTTCCCTACATTTGTTTGACCAGGTGTTTCAGGTTCAGCAACAGTGATGAAAATCCCAAATAACAGTGACTTAAAGATAAGTCTGGGAACAGAGCCCAGGGCCAGCATAGAGTCAGAGGTCTCCAGTGACCCAGGCCTCTGCCTCCCTCGTGGTCCATTTTGGCAACTAGAGCTCCTGCCATCATATACGCATTCTAGGCATCAGATCATAGGAAAGGACAGAGAAAAGGGAGACATCTCCTTGGTCAAAACTAAGTCATATGACCACAACTAGCCGTGAGATATAAAAGGACAGCTCTTAGAAAATGCCGAGAGAGGGGCTGGTGAGATGGCTCAGTGGTATAAAGCACCTACTTAGAACAAGCTTAGCAAAGCCCAGGGACCGCGGTTCAATCCCCCAGCACCACATGCCAGCCAGCCCCGCCCCCTGGTGGGCTGAGCTGGCCACACACACACACACACACACAC